CTTTTGGATTTTCTTGAATCAAGGCACACAAATCTTCGCCGTTGTACGTATTTGGTGCTCGATGAAGCGGATCGTATGTTGGATATGGGCTTCGAGCCTTCCATACGGAGAGTTGCGTCTCAAGTTCGTCCAGACAGACAGACATTAATGTGGTCGGCAACTTGGCCCAGGGAGGTAAAAGCACTAGCTGAAGACTTTCTTTATGATTATATTCAAATCAATGTCGGTTCAACTAAACTTAGTGCAAATCACAATATTAGACAGCACGTTGAAATACTTGGTGAGAGTGAGAAGTTCAAGCGTTTAATAAGTCTTCTTAACTCTTTTGATAATGCCCGTGTACTTATCTTCACGGAGACCAAGAAACGTACTGACGAGTTGTGTGAAAAGCTCCAAGACAAAGGTTTTGACGCTACGGCAATGCATGGTGACAAACACCAAAAAGAAAGAGACCGAGCTTTAGACAGTAAGTTAATGTTGGGCTTATTTCCTCAATCGTAGTGTTTCGCGAAGGCCGTATATCTGTCCTTGTTGCAACTGATGTCGCATCCAGAGGCTTAGGTAAGTATCTTGTTTTTTAGCTTATATGCATACTCTAAAGATCACTGAGTAACTTTCTTCTTGTTCAACTATCACATATCAGGGTGTGGTGAGTTTTGGCATCCTGGAGTCGTTGGAGCACTTCGCTCCATTACTGGCCTCTCGTTAAGCTGGTATAATTTGGTTTCGCCAGTCATTTGGTCGTATCTTTCGCAAAGACTATTCTTGGTCGAAGATCCTAACAGTTGGATTGGTACATTGGCTATAAGTATGACAAAAATTTGCTGACTAAGACGAGTCACATGAACATGCGTTACGTCGTCCAACCCCAATGATTTTGGTCCTCTGGATATGCATGCATCCTTAACTGGTTTGTGTAATTGGTTGCTGAAGGAGGTTTCTACTATTCGAATATCTGGATCGGTAAGATTGGAACTATGTACTACGTTGCAAAATATTGGGATTATGTTGGTCGTTATGATTCACTCTGGACGCGTTTTGGGACCCAGAACTTTGGTATTCGTTCTGGACCCATGAAAACCACGCCACCTCGGCCTTTCGATGCGTGCCAGGTTGGTCTTTCTGATAAGGCTTTCTTTGTTGCGGAATTTAGTTAATGTGTATATGAATGTATCAACTGAAGCTAAACTCTGCTGCGATTGACACTTAAATATTTTTCTTTTTCAGATATTAATGACGTTAGGTATATAATTAACTACGACTATCCATCTCAAACTGAAGATTACATTCACAGAATTGGACGAACTGGCAGAAGCGACAAGAAAGGAACTGCATATACTTTCTTTAGTGCTAAACAACCAAGATTGGTAAGGTTCACTTTCTTGAATTCACTTTTTCTGTAGGCTCGTGAATTGATTGATGTATTGAAAGAAGCACGTCAAACAATCCCTGATGAGTTATTTAAGATTGCTGAAGGTGACTACCTTGAAAGTAATCGGTCCTCTGGACATTCTCGGCGGCGAAATAGATCAGGTTCAAGTCGAAGTTCGGGTAAAAGAAGTGTATCTAAAAGAAGCCGGTCTAGTGTTAGTCATCGGTCCCGGTCTGCTTCAAGTCGCAGTGGCACTCCATATAGATCTAGAAGCTCTTCTCAAAGTAAAAACTACCGATCGCGTGCCAAGTCTAAAAGCTTGTCACGGAATGGCAATGGAGCTGCTAGCGATGAATCCAAAACCAGTTCACCGAGACAACGACGATCTTACGGTTCACACACTCCAAAGCGAAAAGGTCGGTCTCATTCTACTAGATCTTCTAAAGATGAGTATCATGAGAAGTCTGACTCACGTCGATCTAGTTCGGATAGAAGTCCTACCACACGCAATAAAGCTAGGACACCGTCAAGCCAAAGTTCACGCTCGGGAAAACGTAGGTATTCGAAGCAGAGGGAGGATAAAGAAAAAGCACGTTCAGTATCTAGTGGTGACGTCTCTTTGTCTCGTCAACGGTCTCAGTCGTCGACTCGCAGGTCCCACTCGCCATCTAGTAGTAACACGCGACACTCACGGCAGAAGTCGAAGTCCAACAGATCGTCTGGTAGTCATTCTCGCCATAGCTCAGCCCAGTGTAGTGAAAGTCCAGAGCATTCACCTGTCAGAAGTGAGCCTGACGTTGCTGAACACTCCTCCCGCTCTGTTGTAGATGTGAGTCCAGCTGATGAAGACGACAATGGGTCTATAGGACGTAATTCTTCAGTGTCTCGTAAGAATGACTCAATTTCCCCTTCAAACTCAAGAGATGTATCACCGCGATCGGCAGTGAAAGATGAAAGTCCAAAAGCGAAGAGGCCGCGAAAGGATGATTCTGATCGTCATTCTAAAAGTAAGAGTCGATCCCGCTACAGGGAGTCGTCCAGGGACGACCGTTCCAGTGATTACAAAAATTCAGGAAGCTCTCGTTATAGTAAAAAAGATCGCAAGGATGTTCAGAGTTCTCGTGACCGTCGTTCCCGTTCTTCTGATGAGTACTCTGACCGCAGCCGTCGAGACAGATCTTGGACACCATATGGTGATGTACCATCATACAATTATAACTACAAGTTCAATTACAATCCAAGGTACAATCGCAACAGAAACTATTATCGTTCACGCTCCCGTTCATCTTCAGGTTGGCAACGACGAGATCGGAGTAAGAGCCGATCAGGTTATGAACGAAGTCCAAGGAAAACAAAAGATAGTCGCAGACGGTAGCTTACTTTGAATTTCAATAAATGTTTATTACTACTCAACTTCGGTTTTTATTCAATTTGTGGTCGCGTATTTTGGTAACTGCAGGTTTCTTGTACGTAGTGGGGTGACACACGGTTTACTTTATCCGAAGGCCAGTTGGATTTACGTATACACAAAGGTTCCATGGTCTCAGTGTTTTATACTTACTGAGTAAGGCACTTCGAGCAACATATGCTACCTTTTTGTCAATGTGAGTTGTAACGGAAGTGTTTTGCATATGAAGGACCGTGTCACTACTTGCGACAGTTTGCGGATTTTCAAAGATCAAGTGTGTTTCATAACAGCTTTTAATGTTTACATGAAATCGAGAGAGGTGTAGATGACGAGAATATAGTTACTCGACCATAAGTCGGAGGTAGGTGGTGAGCATTGTTTCTGCCTCTTGTTTTGCTAGTAAAGGGTGACAGCTCCAATGTATGCCGAGATATGATAACGTCTTTATTTCGTTTACCCGTTGTAGTTCTTACTAGGATCAAAGAGTGTAGACAGCAGGATCGAGTGCAAAATAAGGCGGGCACAATTATTGCAGTTGTAAATCTACGCGGACTACTATGATTACTCGTATATAGTCTCATTCCAACTAGTTGGATAATCCGAAAGGTTTGCAAATATGACGATTAGCGAAGTCTGGCTTAACAGTAGCTGACTAGAAGTGATAACGAATTAGAGTAACAGTGGCAGACAAAAACGAGAGGATTAGTGATACCATCCACCCTAAGTAATGTGCATCAAATTCTCAGTTTTATTAAGGGATACACCGAGGAAAAGCTGTGGTAAGTGAAGTGATCTTTGAGAATAGTAGTAGTTTAATTAGCTGAGGATTTTGCCAAGTTTCAGGAGCAATACAACTGGCATACAATAGACCGGTAGGAAATTGCCGAATTAACTAAAGTACTAGCTGATGTTAGGAGTCCGATATAGTTTCCTCATATTACTTGAATTCTTTGATCGTATGAATCTTAACGGAGGAAGTTTTTTCTGTGATAATTGTAGGATGTTCAGCCTGAAATATTTGCATATGAAGAGCTACAATTTGTTACTATGAGAATACAAGTTGAAGTCCATGAGAAGCGAACTACGAAGCAATAGACATGATCTTCGACTTATGACACTTCAACAGAAGTGCCGGTGTCTATTGCATTTGTTCACTCGAAGACGATTGTCAATGAGGTTCTGCGGTGGTGTCTGACTATCAAGGATATTTCATGCAAGTATATTATACTAGTTAGGCAACCCTACTCAGGCTTATACAGGTGTACGTGTTGTCATCTCAAGTGACAACTATCATCGGTGTTCTTCATTCATGATTCTTATTTGATTTTATCGTAGACGTACTGGTGAGTGAAAATTATATATCCGACGTTTGAGACGCGTATACAAAGGGATAACCTCTTTGATCTAGAATTCGTCGAACAATGTAGTCCTTTAGAGTGGAAGCTCTGAGCAGAAACCTTGGTAAGTTTGAAATCCAGACAGCCTCTTATTACGTTTCAGGACTTGCTACTAGAGTAGTTGTCCATTTCACGTGTTTAAGAAGTTGCATTAGCTTTAGTGGACTGGTTACTAACGAAATCTCATCTCGGATGCAAAAGACTGGCTTGGCATTTGTCAACTTGCATCATATGACTTTTCATCAAGATGCATGTGTACTGCCTGTTAGGTTGGTGCGTCTCACTTAGCTGCTGAAACATGACAACCTTAAGTGAAGACATGGAACTACCACATTTTTCCGACTGTTGGTGTGTTCGTCCAGTTCCTCGGGCCAATCAGAGGAACATGAAGAACAACATAGAGGTTGTATAGTGCCATTGACATGGCTCAAAATTGCCCACAGTGGTAAGAGTGCTATTCGTTCCTTATCATCCAAACTCTGAAAATTCGTATCTATTTTCATCTAAATATTCCTTACGCTGCATATTTTAGCTTCACAACACCTCACTTCTATGCTTCTGTGTACTTTCCTCATGTGTGTCTATTTTGACTGTTACACTTCGGTGCAAAGTTCTTCATTGATAACTGGGACAGTTTGATTTGGTGGTTGCTCAGTCTACGACACAACCTTTTTCTAGATTTCATCAGAAGAAACCTCAAATATTGAAGTATGAAATGTTATTATTTATAACCATTGTAATTTCAGGTGGTTTGCAGCTGATGAGAACCTGTGAAATGGAGTGAAATCATTTTATACTGCAATTCTGGTCTTTCTTTCTCTATCGAAATTTATCAAGAGAATCAATTGTATGAAATTTTCATTATTATTTACATTTTTTCTTATGTGTATTCATATATTTTCGAATAAATCCGGGTGGGTAGTTGTTTACGAGTAATGTTTTCCTTAGGTGCTTGATTTCATTATTAGGATCCGACCTGCTAGTTAGGTTAACTAGACCTGCCTTTACCGATTCTGTATGGAATTAATCAAAGTCCAAGTATTTATTAGAGTGTGTTGGTTCCCCATGGATGCTAGTATTTAACCCACGTAAATCTGTAAGAACGTTTAGTGCTACTGCGAAGTTGTGGTGAAGATATCTGGATGACACCTCCAATGTATTGAAATCTGAACATATCTCCAAGTTCTTAACACATATTAACTCATTAAGAAATGGGTTCCAATTCACTTAAGTTTGAATTTCAACAGGGTGATTTAGTTATACTAAACTGTAAAATAAAACGACAGCAGGATGGTTGGTTTACGAAATGCCATGTAATTAATGTGAAGTCATTTTCATAGATCAAGGTAGTAGATCGGGGTCAATTAAATCATCGGAAAATAGGAATTTAGCTGAAGCCAGGATGATTGACCCTGTTAAGTTAAATAATCTAAAAAACAGCTCGGTCATTGCAATGCATTCATTTGAATGCCATGATAACAGAGTGGGACTAGGGAGATGTATTAAGAAGTAATATAGTTAGGTGGAGAGACAGAGGTTAATCACTGAATCTTTGTTTATCGATTCAACATCACACACGTGGAATCGAAACCAAGCAACGCCTGTACTGGATATGTGGGAAATTGCAATAAAAATCAATGGGGATTTAGGCTATGTAAAACAAGTTGTGTGAATACATTGAAATGACTATGAGCAATAAATTGTGTTGGGAGTATTTTCCAGTTATTGATACTGTATCACTGTCTGTTATCTAAAATAACCTTATCTAATATGGAATTATATTCTATCACGGTGTCTAAATTGTACTGTTTCATTATTTCGCTGTATTTTTACATCAGCAGATGGTAACTGAAATTTGCTTATGGGCTAACCATCAGGTTGTGGTTATTCAATGAGCCACGTTTGATGGGCTATTTCTTATGATAATTTTCAATTTAATGGTTCACTACATTATCCATGAAGGTTTTTCCACTTGATGTACTACAATAATCAAGAAGTGTAAGAATGACTTATATGATCATAGTTGCCATATGACTTTAGACAGTGGTAGGGCTGTATATCTGTTAACCTTGAGTATCGTGAACATTCTTTTGAGCATACTGATGTTTTTTAATCATATCTCGGTTTATTTTTGTGAAGATTTCGAAATTGAAAAGAAAATTATTTCGTAAAATATTTTCTTTATTTCTGCTTTAAATGTTTATCAACAGCATTAACAGTTGGATCAAGTGAATAGCTAAAAGAAGTTTCCGGTGGTGGGATTGGATAAAAAGTTAATGAACACGTCCTGTAGTGCTTTTTGGGATACTTTTTGTCGTCATTGGATGTGGGTGACTTCAGTAAGCAGGGAAATTCGATGTTTCTGTCTATTATTTTTGTGGTTTGACCTAAGACATTTGATGTATTGAGATCGTACAACCTACTGTTAATAAGATTTAGGTCTTTTTCACTTTGAACACGAGGTCCTACTTTAGGTAAATGTGAAAATGTATTTGTCGGATTATTTAGAATATTTTCAGAATTCATTGTTTTGTACTCCTTGTATTTAATGTCACTCAGCTGAAATATATCATGAACAGATGCAGGTCTTTCCATGTGTGTATGATCCCGGTTGTATGCATCGTCGTAGACTGAGAGATTATCTTGAAGATACCCTAAACCAGGAATACGAAACTGTTCGTTCAAAGAGTTGTCTTTTTCAATCTGGTCATCTCTTACTGGAATACATCTGTGCAAATAATGTGGGTCTGTCAAAAGTTGGTTTGGTGGATTCGTGCTAAATTTTCTGTAATGTATGTGACTTTCATCGCCTATATCTCTTTTGTATTTATGCGGACTTGATGTACCAGTTCTATAATACCTTATGCTACGATTGCTTGATCGAGGACTCATATTAACTCGATGAAATGAAATTGTATCCCAATCCACATCCTTGACACTTCGACCTAAAAGGTAGGAGAGATAAGTAACTGTATACAATATCAGGTTCGAAGGTTATTTACACGTACAAATTTTTAGAATATCTTAGATTTAAAACTTACCTCATATGAATGATTCATTTTTGAGGTGTTTTGGAAAGTATTCCATGTTAATTTGCATATTAGATACATCACAGTGAGACGGTATTATTATTTAACTGGATGACGTTTCGAAGACAATTTATTGTTCATAATCATATCAATTATAATTACACAACTTCAAAACTTGAGTTTTATAGTTTTCTTTATTCTTTCCTATTTGTTGTAGGGATAGTAGAATTTTCCAGATGTCTGGGACAGGTGTTGGATCATGCCTATTACACGTGTTTGCAGTTGATTCGATAAACAAAGTTTCTGTTATCAATCTCTCCCTCCACCCCGTTATACTAGACCTTAAAACTGTCATCTTATCCCATTCTATTATATCGTTGTGTGTAATTGCATGTAGTGAGTGCTATTTCTGAACTATTCTCCGTCATCCAGTAAATAATACTGTTTCACTGTGTGAATGCAACATTTCATTATACAAAATAACATAGATTGTTTAAGTCAGTTTTTAAAGCCTCAGTAGGATTTACTGTCTCCTTATCTGAGGAGTGAAGCTGAACTTTATGACGGTGTAGTAGTTGGTGAGTAGAGCAATAAACAAAGACAAAGAAAAGCACCAGCTGTATTTAAGTTAGTAACTAGATGTAAGGCCATTTAGAGATTTTATGATGCCTGATGAATTTTGATTAAAATTAAAGAATAGGGTAAGCACATTATGCCGAACAAAACAATCTTATTGTCAAAGACTTTATGCATTTCTCTCACGGGTAGATTGTGTTGCATCTAGGTCGCCTTTACTAGTTTTAGTTGCTGGTTCTATTCTGTATGTGAGTGAAGCGGGAAGTCTTCTTTTCATTTGCCTAACATTATGCATTAAAAACAACACGGAGATTACAGTTCTCCTTAGTTCTGTATTTACAAATTCTGTTGAAGAATTACAGGTGTGACAAATTTGGTATTTATCTCGAATAAAAGTCTGCAAAAAGTCATTTAAAGTTTTCTTTATCGACGAAATCATCCTCAGAGGTTGTAATCGTATTTATATTTACTCAATAATAGACCACTATACATTTTTGTTAAATACAAATACAACCGTACCGCCTCTGAAGTTGATTTCGTCGATAAAGAGAATTTTCTTCACTGAATTTGTCTTTTATTTTCTTCATTCTACTTTAGTGGCTTTCTGTTTAGTTATAAGAAAAATAGTGCACGACTGACTAGTGGTGGTCGTTAACACTCACAAAATTGAATTGATTGGTCTCCGAGGGCGTAATTAATGTCATATAGGTATTTCTAAAATACTATCACAGCATTTAAAAACAGGTATATTTTAACTCATATTTTGAGACAGGTGATTGTAGATAATCTGCAAGAATTTGTGAACTATGTATGCTATTGTTAGTATTCATAAGTATGGTGGTTAAATTTACCAGATGGAAGAATTACTTTAAATCCTCTCGAGAAATTTTTTCTCATTTTAACATATTCGATTAATAAGTTCTCATGTAGTAGTTGTTTTATTGGTAAGTTTGTATGCTCGTTTTGTTCTGTGTAAAACTATAATTCTCACTGTCTTTTGTTATAATTTAAAGACGGCTGAAAACGGCTTTATCACAACAGTTGATATAAAATTAAATCGCCTCTTACTTTACATTTATAATAATGACTGTGAAAGCACTCCAATGAACTTAATTTATACCTAATATCTTCAGAAATGCTGCAAAGATATTTTCAAAAGACTTACAATTTGAAATTTGAAGAAAAAGATGTGGACATCATTACAAGTAACCGTTTATCAGAGATTTATTGACAGATATCGATCACTAATCAACTGCTTTATGCCATCTTGCATACGACAGTGCAAAGTATATAGCTCAAGACAATCAGGTGAAGGAATCACTTTATGATTTGGCCCCAAGTGTGAGAATAAATGGTTCATAGTCTCAAACTTATGTTAATTTGCGATATATCGTGACTATCACTCTCGCCATACCCGAGTAACCCTCCTATCTGTGACGAAATTCATCTTCAAATTAACTAAGTCTTCGCAAGTTGACCAACTTGGGATCAAGTTATTTTTGATTATTAACTAATTTCGAAATAGTTCTAATGAGAATTCATGACTGCTGTGTTTCATCAACTAGAGGACGGCTACTCGCTGGTAACACTGGCTGGTAGTCGCTTTGTCACTAACTACCAGAAGTTGTAAACAATAGACCATCGGTTTCGGATCCACTGGGTGAATGACGGTGTGATCATCTCAAGTCATGATTGTCATGGTCTAGATTTTTTCGTGATTCCCTGACATGACAAAGCAAGTATCTAATGATTTTCTATCTTCATTGGTTCACAGGCCGATCATCACTACATTACTGAATGGAACTTAAAGAATATCAATTATAATTGTAGAAAGTTTATTACTTCTCTTTTGACTCAATAGTATGAAGATGACGACAGCTTGTAATTACTCGTTTTTCATGTCTCTCAAAAATTCTCTTGGTTACGTATAAAGGATTATGCTGTTAATATTGAAGTCTGCATTAGTCTACATAACTTGTGCATGCGGAATTTATCCCCTTTTTGTTTGATCTAACAATGTTTGATAACCTGTTGCAGGATTAAATGTTACAGACATTAAATGTGTTGGGGGTACTGTGACAAATAATTTTGTTAAAATTTACAAGTCGTAAATACTGAGCGTAAGGTCTAATCAGTGGTGCTCTACGGCAAACTTATATGTCTACAGTTATATTATAATCACTTATCTTCAACACAAGGTTTCTAAATGTCTAAGAAAATCAAACAACTGGAACTATCTCCTGTGTGATTGTAGCTCAGTGGTTTAAGCACTAGATTTCCAACCATTTGGTCACAGATTGGAATCTCTCTCTTCGCCTACTGTTGTTTTAGCAGCCCAGTAGCATCGTCAAGCCTCAAACAATAGGTGTACTTCATTGTCAGTTATACGTTAAAGCAAGAGTTTGTTAGGCAATATTTCATTTCACGTTTTCTCCCCTACAATTATGTTCTTCAATAACTGTGTTTGAAATACACTTGAATGATAAGATTTGAATGAGGAATAGATTTCGTGTGGTGATTTTTTTTCTGTTGTAAGATAGTCGTTTTGTTAGAGCTAGTATGGTGTCTTTGTTCCTGATTGCTTTTTTGAAAACTATTGAGTTTAAGCGTATATTTAACCTCCACATCCTTATTACAGAATCTATATCCTTGAAAGACATAAAAAATTATAAATAATATAAAAGCTGTGAAAATATTTTTACTTTTACCACTGATTAGATTTAATAAATTTCTGTTCTGAAACCTTTCAGATTAGTAAAATAAATCGTAACGGTATGAGAAGAACAATATACAGTAGGTGAGAATTAAGATTATTCTTACGCAAATATTTATTAATCCTGTTTCTTTTGGCCATCACGTTAGCTTGCGTAACCAATGTATGTACTGCTTCTGCGAAATTTAAATTTGATGGATTTGTATGCTGGTGGTGATAAGGATTGAGTTTATACTTTCCAAATGAATGGTCATATCCTCTTCTTTCTATTCCTTTACGTGAAGAGTTCTCACTGAGTTTCCTAAGTTTACTAAACATTGGGTCTATCGTTGAATACTGACTATCTGTTTCAGGTGGATGAGGATAGAAGATTAACTTTTGTTTACTACTTGGAATTAAATGCCTATTATTCTCGTCTGTATTCTCACTATCAGTATTATTATTACGATAGACTACTGTTCCATCTGGCATATCTGTGTAGACTTTAATCTTATTAACTTGGGGATTTCGATGTACCTGTGGTGTTACAGTGGAATTTTGTAGCCTATATTGATGATATGAATCAGGATAGTATATGTAATCTGTACTTGTTGTAGTGGTCAGAGAATTGTCCGAATTTCTCAATATATAACTGTCTGTTAATTGTGCATCTCTCTCATTATCGCCTTCCATATCATCATTCCCACTGGTAACATTTACATCTTCATGAATATCACCTTGTTGAATATATGATGCTTTATCATACTTCTCAGCTGGTGATATAACAATATTCGGATAGTTTTGTCTGGCGTTATTATTATGGTTGTTGTTTGTGATCTCAGTGTTCCTATTGTTTTTAACCATTTTGTCCAGATTGTTTTCATCTTTCAGTTGCTGTTGTTTAGTCTGAATTAACTTTTCTCTTAGTTCATTTGCATGAGTTTTGTATTTTGTAGCAACGTCTTTGTTATTATACTCCGTAGCCATCTAAATATATGAAATTAACAAAAGGAGTTATCACCATTATTATATTTAGTGAACTACAGCATTTTCAAATAAAGATTATAATCTTTGATGAAATTTTATAGATACTTGTGATACGAAAATACTAAGCTTTATTTACACTACTGTCAAGATTTATGTATCTATAGCGAGGAAAATCCCGAGTGCTTATGAGTATTACCAGGCTTTAAATAATTAGAGTAAAGTTTTCAACAACGTTTTAGTGTCCTGCTTTATTCAAACCCCGAAGGCCAATTTTCGAATGATAGAGGCGTAAAGGTAATATTGATCTACTGACGGAATCAGTGTGGTGTCAGTAACCACGCCTTCCACAGATGGCTATCTATATTCCTCACTAACTCAGATGCAAGAACTGTGCATCCCGCTCTATCCTCCTACGGTTTTTGGGTCGCTTTAGATAGGATTATGAATTACGAGTACATCTGTGTAAGTAGATTAGAAAGAATCCCATATGGCTCTGTGATTAAGTAAAACTAGTTCCTATTTTCAATGAGATAAAGCAAGAAGACTAGCTTCCTCGACATGGTCAGTCGGATCAATCATTTCTGTCGTGATCATTTAGGTCATTTTGAGAATAAAAGAGAACACGGGACAACGATGTTTTTAAGACCTATTTCTTCACAAAACAACATTAGGTAAGTAACTACTAGAAACTCTCAAGCTGTTTAGTTCTCATTTGAGTATCTTCAGCAGGGTACAGTCGCGATCAGACAAAGGATCAAACTCATAATCTTCAAGGCACCAGATAAGCAAATTATAATCCAATTATTGGGCTGGAGTCTACCAATCATTGTATTCTAACTCCCATGAAATTGCTATATAACACCTACGCCGCTTAGTGCAAGTGATGAGTAGTCTTTACACTCCACCTGGTGATTCCCAGCAGGTGCAGCATATAAGGTTTCAAGTTATTTTTTATGATCACTAAATTACTACTAATTATCCCTTTACTGTTGATTGGGATTCTCCAATGAATAGCCCATATCTGTAAAGCGGATATCCTGTCACGAATAATCAATCTTATAAATTGTTTACAAGAATCTTACATGATCCATTTCCATATTGCTGACTGATCGAAGATCTACTCTGCTACCATAACGTGAATGTTCTGTACTAGGGTTCGCTAAACGACCGCTACTGTGAAATGGACTTGAAGTAAAATAAATTGAAAAAAATATTTATGTAAATATGTGTATATATGGGTTTTATTCTTTTAAACATAATATTATAATGGAAAAAGTATGTAAATTATAAAGTCACAGATGAAAATTCTTTCTAATGACCAAACTTGGGGCACCAGTGTATGTGTCTCAGCTACTTTATTTTTGATTTATTTACACAATGGTAAAACATTAACAGGTTAGGCAGATTATTTAATACTGACTAAATTTCATTGTTAAATTATTCCTGATAAGTTTGTGAGAACGCCTCATTATTCTTGACTTTTAATTTGTTGTATATATAGATGACGATTAGTGTTTAAGAGAAATTTTAGTTTAAAGCAAACTTAAACTGTGTACCTGTAGGTCACCAATTAGACTCTCTTTTCAATGACCTGACAAGATATTCAATTCAGTTTAACACTGCACCATTTGCTCAGTCAGGTGTTCTAGCCCCAACGTGAATATCGTATTTTTCTTTCCCCAAAGTTATATAAGGGCTAGTTCATTAGATAATCAAAAATAGTTCCTCTGGTGTAATGATCGTTCAAAGTACTTGACTTTCGAGCTATATAAATATGCTTAAAAATATATACACCAACCGTAATAACTGAATAACTCGGGAAATTTATTTTCTGAATCACAACAGAAGAACTCAAAACACTTCCTTGAAAAGAAGCTCAGTTATTATGTCTTGCTCCTACATTATCATTAAACATAACAATATATAGTCCATCGTATAAATAGTAAGCAGGAGTACACAGAACAATGAGACTAGTGTAATCTATTATTTCAAATGTGATCAGTTTATTGTTACCTAACATATCTGGACAAAGAAAGATACATGAATTTGTCAAAGTACCGCGCTTTACGTTATGACCAAGTGTAAGACATAGCTGCAATGAATATGTATGTCCCTCTTATGTTACATTTCAAAAGCAGAATAGTTAGCCCGTTTGATAGGTTTACATAAATCATTCAGAATACAAGTACTGCGAGGTAATATCTCAAATGATATCCGTTGGGGTGATGCACATTGATAGGATGTGACCAAAATTGAAATCGACATTTTAAGTCAATGGCCGCAGAGGTAGGAGTGTTTATTCCTCAAATCTGGATTTAGTTTATGTTGTCAACATAAAATGACTTCATTGGACGACTTGTTTAACCTTGGGCCAATCGCCAACCAATCAGAATAATTTGTTCTCCTCTGAACTAGCAGAACTTTAATTTGGCTAATAATGTATAAATATGTTGTTTTTCCTTAATAAAAGCTCTTTATCAAGTCTGTTATCTTCTCCCGTTACAGGCTTACAAAGTACTTTTGAATGTCAGTTAATTAAGATTTTAAGATACTGAAGTTTATTTTAACCGAAATAAGAGGATGCATATCACTAAAATACCAAGTACCGGCTAACAGCACAGAAGGAGAAAATAAAGTGCAGCTTTCCTGTCATATTCAATCGTTAATATCCGTTTCCAAGGCATAATTTTTTAAACAGAAAACACTATTTTTCTAATTCTTAAGGATGAATTTTGAAGGTTAAGTGAATATACATTTTGGCAGCTTAAGAAGACTTATTCACTCACCAATTTGTTTCTAGCTGTCAGGTCAACAGTTTAACTCTAATTTTAAAAAAACATCAAGGGAAAGGAACGGTTATTTATTGGCTAAGTTTTTTGGCTCAGTTGGCAACCCGCGTTTGTTGTTATAGTTGATTTACTTCGCCAATTATCAATCAACAATCATTTTTGCACAGTTCTCCAGCTGGTTTTATGTGACAGAAATTTTCATATAGAACGAACTACAAAATTGTTGAGTAAATCTGTTCACCTTTATAGAAAACTTCAGATTTCGAACATTGAAGACAACCATACATGGAAACCTTCAGCTGAGGATGATAAATCTTTGGTGTTCTTCAAATTTCATATTCATGCTTATTAAAGAAGCTAGTTATGTGTAGGCTTACATCACAAACATAAAATTAAAAGAAGAACTAATTTCAAACATATTCACCTATTGTATAAACCAAATAACCTAGACAAACTATACGGAAATCGTGGTCTCTTAGTTTTAATCAATAAATATTATATAACATGTCAATAGATTATACAGACAACTAAACTTACTCATGTCCTAACATTTGAGTTAAACATGCTTCAAGTATAGGTTTCTGTAGAAAGAAAATGATTCGTTTGAATTATAATAATAAGAATATAAATGACTAGTAATAAGTAACAAGTAATCAAAACTCATTTTTCAGGTCAATTTTCTGTTCAAAGAAAGCGGTACTATTGACAGTATTCTATATGACATAAATTGCATTAGTTCATAACAAGCTTTACCAGTATTGCATTTTTCGTAATTAATTGAAAGACGTTCCGGAGATAATGTAGAAAGCTTTAGTTTTTGAAACTGTACTTAGCAGAAAATAACTTTTGACCAGGGAAGAACTAACAAAGATTCTCATGCTTCTTATATATTCATAAATATCATGCTGGAAAAATATACCTCTAGGAAATTTAATCAGTTTGAATCGTTAAATGCTTAGTGTATTATTTTAAATTGATTCAAAAGTTGGGCATTTATCCCCTTATAAAAATGTCACAAATGCGTTCACCCAATAGTCTTAACTCTAGATGAATCATTCTCAAATGGGATCAGGTTATTAACTTGATTCTGTTCATGTCCGATATATTCACCTAGTATTCAGACTACTGAATAAAGCTGTGTTGCTTTAAAAAATTTGTTCTGTCCCTGAATCTCACTAAGGAAATCATCTATAATTGAATTACACATACACACAGCTGATAAGTACAAAAGGCTTTTCTTGGATTCTTATGGTACACACCACCAAATAAATATCAAACTGAAAACTGTTCAAAAATCCACGTATCCATTCTTAAAGTCAATCGAAGCAAAGGTCAATCCTATTCAAAGGAAATAATAAAGAAATACGAATACAGGTAAATAACGTCACAGTCTGAAGGAAGTAGTTAGCTAACCTATGCTTTATGAAAAGCATATCTTTACTGTTGACTTTATAAAAATAATGTGGAAATGGTGCATCATCTGTGTGCATATTTTTTATCACTGTGTATTCATAAAAGATGTGCCTTTTATACCTGCATAACTATGTATTCATGTAAGTGCAAAACTTGGGCCCTGTGGTAGAATGTAATTCTAAATATCACACAGTGATGCAGTATTAACAACTAGATGACGTTTCGAGCATAAATTATTGCTCATAATCAATTGCTAATCTAATTTTTTCTATGGGTCCTCATACATTGCTGAATAAATTTAGGTGGGTAGTTATGCACTAGTAATATTTCCTTTACTTGTTTGATTTCATTACATAAATCTTCTGGCCTAATTATGTAGACATTTAACTAATCCTATCTGTACCGATTCCGGATGGGATAAATTAAAGTCTAAGAAAACGAACAAGGTGAGTTGGCCATGCTAGACTGCAAAATAAAACGAAAACAAGATGGTGGGTTAGATACCAGCATTTATAGGAAACCGACACACTAATAAATACACACGGGTGGCATTTAAACCAACCAACTCAGTCAGTTTGTAGGATTAAGGGCCCGGTAGAAATGCCATATAATAAATGTGGGGTCAATTAGATTATCGGAACATAGGAATTTAGCTGAAGCTAGAATGATTGACCCTGTTAAGTTAAATAATGTAGCAAAACGCTCAGCCATTGCAATGCATTCACTTGCATGTTATCACACAATAAGGTAGGATAGAGTGAAAGTATTAAGAAGTAATATAGTTAGGTGGAGAGAGAGAGGTTAATCACTGAATCTTTGTTTATCGATTCAATACCGCACACGTGTAATCGAAATGAAGCAACGCCTATACCGGAGATATGAAAAGTGGCAACAAAAAACAAGGGGGAGAGGGAGAAGAATACATGTATAAAACAAATCATGCAGTCGTGTGACCAATTGATATGATTATGAGTAGTAGTGTATGCTCAAAACATCATCCAGTTGTTGATACTGCATCACCGTATGATATTTAAAATAAACTTATCTAAGATTGAGTAACTGTGAATCCAATTGCTTAATGTTGTAGTGAATGCTTTCTCATAAATTAATTGAAAACAACCATAAGGATTCAACTGAATATGTCGAGGGAGCGAAACTACCAAGATCTGTACTGAACATTAGAATGTGTCATATTAACGTTAGAATGTAACCAACTGACCATTTAAATTTTAATATTACTACCTAATTCAAATTTTAGTAGGCAGTGGAAAATATATTTAGGTCTAAATTTAGGATAGTTGATTGGAAATTAGGCTTATATTATTTCAGGTCTTTATTTGAATCGGTTATCAAGTAATTAAAAGTTGATTTAAGCAAAACTTACAGTACTCAATTGATGTAAACTGCCTTTATTCCCACTTGACTTATTCAACTGCCAATTTTCATAAATCAGTAGTCCCGCATATATTTTGCCAACAGTTAAACGAGTGAATGTATACTCTTTTGAAATAAAAAAAATATAAATTAAATACATTTCTATACTTGTTATTCGCTTTTTCATATATATATATATATATATATATTATATATATATATATATCTTCAATACATATCCTCGCAAATTGTAGCGTCGTATTCTCCTGCTATGGTGGTTTAATGACAAATCTTAGTTTTTATATGGTTTTTAAATGAAATTTTGTATGAAAAAATTGTTTTCGGATCTACAGATCGTTGGTGACATTATATTCTTGAACTGCATTACATTTGCTGCACCTGTATCAGAAAATGTTGCGTGATACTGATATCTGAGCAATTTAATAGATTAAAGGATGCAGTAAGTTCAAATTTAAGCGTATATTTTTGGATTTTCATGATATCGTGAAGGTATATTTGACCTATTTGTTGGAACGCGGCGCTACCCGCCGGAAAAAGGTTGCACCACTTCAAAAAGGGGGATGTGCCATATAATCGCCTGATTATCTTAAGTATCTGCTTCGGTAATTAATTCTAAAAGCATATATTTTTTTGTTTTTTGTTTACATGCTTCTATTTATGAAGTTATGACGTTAATTTACTTAGAGTAGTTAGCAGAATAGAAAACACTAATTCCAAAGGTGATAGAATTAAAAAAACATCAGTTACGTGAATACCACCTTTAACATTGTACAAAGTACTTACAAAGAATGATCGAAATGTACCTAATGTGATTCTCCAAATAACATCATTGCAATAAATTATAATGTTTATTTGCATGAAACTACATACTACTGACTCGTTGATATGAGTAGTTGGATAGCACTCACATCAACCAGTAGTGTTTGCTAGCCTAGTCTAAGTGATCTAAACATCGGGCAGACGTTTGCGACCAAGCTCATCAGTGGGCTACCCGACCTGAGCCAGTTCGCACCACCCGATATCTGGCTACCTACTTGGACAAACTGGTAATTCTATATATCAGTTTGCGAATTTGATTTATTGTAACGTTTATTTTTTCTAAAACGTAAACTGGTTATGAAAAAACTTTCTTCAGCATTATCCTTGAGTGGAAAAATTCCATTGATTTCTGAGGTACTATTAAAACACAACAATGTAGTACTCCTGTAACATCCATATCCTGATGTAAAAATATCTTAAATATCATGGAGGTGTACTTCAGGTTGGTGAATTAACTGTTAGTCTTTTATTATTCGATACATTTTCGAAATTGTCTTGCAAATAAAGTTACGAACTTATTGATGACATTTAAGCGTATCAGTTCAGTCATGTGATGCAAAAGGGAGACGAACAAAGTCAGTCTTTAGAGTCTAGACGGTACCTGCATTTAGTCTTCATTGCTTACAACGTTTTAAAATCAAATGCAAATAGATTTACTAGAAGGAGGCTCTTTACTCCACTACGTTTTTAAAAAAAAACATGTTTCCTATCACATTCATATGTGTTTGTTTCAGTTTTTTTCACTATCTTTTTCTGTCCTGTTTCAAAAAGTGACGACTGAAAGTAATGCATATCTATGAATTTCAGTCAAACAGTCAATTCTTGCTGATGATGACCAACACTGTTTTTTATGAAAAATGTCAGACTTATTTTACTCTGATATGCAGTCTAGCTTTGATATTTCACTATCCTAATTAAAGAATTTTATTTGGTTACAGGATTTCATCATGAACTGACACTGGTTAGAGAACCATTGGAAAACCTGGGAGCACTGGACAACTGTTTCGTCCTAGTTTTGGGACTCTTCAGCAGTACGCGCCCACTGGGGTTCGAACCCAGGAACTTCTAGTTACAAGGCGAGCTCGTATACCATTAAGCCACTAGGAGCCGATCCAATGGCCTATGAATTCTAACTTCTGTCAATTCACGATATAGCGCAACCGCTAGCCAATGTCTTCGGTGAGTATTTGTCCTCACACCCGACCTGCTGCACCCTACTGGTCACGACTTCCCACTGGAACCCCAGGTAACTACCTACCTGAATAGGGCCAGTCGCCAGTGAGCATCTCATTGATATTCAATTATTGGTTTGTAGGCATCCCTAGTTTAAAAGTGAAGTTTTCATTGTCTTTCTGGACACCATCTTAAGTGCCTCTAATAAGAGATGAGCATTTAGAATTCTCCGTAAGTTTAATAGTTGTCTCCTCTGATAACCTTCAACGTGACTAGCTGTTTCCAGAAATTTTCTCACCGTCTTCTCTACGTGTATTGGTACGGAGTATTTAGTCGAGAATTCTAAAACGTCATATCACACTGAAGATATTGTCCAGAAAGAGACAATAACAGCTTCGCAATTAAATCATTCAGCTCAGTGTACACAACTACACCACTATCATCCACCTGAGCTATAATTTTTCTGCATATTTTCTAGGAATAAATTGAATTAGTTTACAAGATACATTTGTAACGAAAGATTAATTCAGCAAAACTGAAAATGTAAAGTGTATCGACAGAATGGATGTGGTTGCTTTGACAATATCTGTCAGTTAAACAGCGTAATAGTTTTTTTCGTAATGTTTCCGCTTGAATAACCACAAAAGTCAAATCTTCAGATAAGCAGCTGAAGTCTCTTTTTTCAATAGTATACGTTGAAAGGTTATAATAATTTATTGTAACTTTTAACTACTCTCTTTACGATAAATTTCACACCCTTAATATGTGTGGAATTCTGTGATGTTATAGAATTGCAGTTAATCAAAAGCAGCTGGGTTTCATGCTTGTGTTCATCAAGACGATAGTTATAATTTGTTGTTTCATTAACCAGGTTTAAAGGAAACCTCAGAAAATTTATTAGAACAGTAATTAGTTTACTTCATCTACAGTGTCAGATCGAAATGGTGTATATCATGCAGAATAATTAGTAACAAAAAGCATTACAGTTACAGATCAGATGTTTCAAATACCCTGGTGGTCAAATAAATACACTAAAATTACAATAATTTTTGGCTTACCTGAATCTGGGGGTAATAGCAGGTCCAAAGATCTCTTTGCTTGCACTGGCCATAGAGTTTTAATAGTTTCACGTAATTCTGCATCTTTAGTATCCATAAATTCAGCTGGTGCCATTTTAATGCCTAATGATTCACGGACTAAAGCGAAAAGTGTAGTCGTAAAATGCACTGTTCCTGCACTATCTACAGGCATATTCATTCGAATTAGTTTCTAGATCAAGAAGGAAATATACATACAATAATATTTATATGATTTGTAATTATGCTTTGATAAATAGAAGTTTTTTTTTTTGTACAAATTAATTGCTCAATACATGATTTGATAAATGTTAGAAAATATTAGAAAGGAAGGCCTAATTCACCTAACTTCACTGTCAATTGTCACTGATCAGAAAAGTGTCTTTGAGAAGCCCATGGAACTCACATTGTCACCGGGAAAGAAACTTCTAAGCCATCTAAGCTAATTTGGTCTAAGCATCTCTACTACTTAGCATCTGACACCCAGTTCGTCTAATACATGGCATATCGGGCAACTGTGGATGATTACGTGACACTGATAATTCTTTGGAATTCAAACATTTTAAGAAACTTTTTTATCCATCCATTATAGTACATACAACTTTCAATCTTTTGGCAATGTCGCGGAAACATCTTCATCTAACAACTGATGTGTCAATGATAAGTCGCGTATAAATAGTAAAAATCTCTTAAAACGTACTCAGAAGCAATCAGTACCAAAAAATGCACTATTATTCTGAGCAAGAGGTGCTTTAAACTGAGTCATTGACTTGCTTGATGTATTTCTTTGAAGTAATGGTAAAGATTTATGAATCAGCATGTGGATATTGATTTAGCACAGGTGCTTTAACATTCTCATGGAAATCTATGCGTAAGATGTTATTGAAAGCTCCTGCCTAATTAGGAATAGCTAAAAAACACTCCTGACTTGAGATACGCGTTTATGAACAATGCGGAGATCTTCTTAGTTAAAAAAATAAAAATAGCAGAAATTTCTCTATGATGGTATAGAAATCGAACTAAGTAATATAACATTTCATGAGTTTCATTGTTGTTTATTTTTGTAGTAGTTTTGGTTGGACAGACGCTAATAATTTCATCTAAAACATGAACCTTTTTGTTTGATTGGTGCATCAAATGTGAAATTATTTCACTGAGCAAAACGTGCTAACTACTGCAACTCTAATTTCTTTATCATTTACTCAAGTAACTATGGTAACAATTTTATTGGAATAAATATCATGGTTAGAGTTTTACTCATATGTTAGTGGTATATATACCTTATTACTTGTTTCACAAAGCTGATTTGTTTTACCACAAATATTTACTGAAATATACTTCATTCAGGTTACCGAAGGGTTTGCGGATCAATTTGTAGTTTGTGAATTAGTGTTTTAATAGATTATGGCTAATTTCCGTAAGCCAAATGTTTTTTTTTCGATGAAGAGGCTATACCACATAGAATCAAAATATTATTTAGGTTGACAAGAGCAAGAATGTTTGGTGGTTAAACTAAAATATTCATGATATGGAGCTGTACAATTCAAGAATTGAAACGCTTAGGAAAAGATACACATTTCATCGGATAAACCTATACAAAATTAAAGTTAAATAAACTATAAAGCTATCCAATTCCTTAAGAAATTTACTGAGAGTCCCTATTTCAGTAAAACATATGTAGTAGGAATTTTTATTGACATTGGTTCTGCTGAAATAACTATAGCGCCATCTACGGTTAGAAAGGATATTGCATATTTGAATAATTAAAACATATTGAACATGCATTGTGTCAAATGCTCAATGTTTCTAATAAAAAAGGAAGAGGGTGAGACACCTAACAGATAAACGTGGTAATTTTTATTTTGTATAAATGCCTGATATAAAGTAGGCCATCTGACTATTAAATACATTGAATTCAAATATCAGTTTTCTTGTAGAACCGTATAGCTCTTACTGAAGTCATTTATTAGCAGAATGACGTTTGATAAATTTAAAAAACGACAAAGTGCCTATAAAAAAGCTATCCGTACTGCTAGGAAATATCTTAAAATTATAATTACTGCACACTGTTTTTCCTACATTCCTCCAGAAACTATTTGAATAAATGTCACATTGTAATTTAGTCCTTCTCCTGCCTAATTCTACTTCGGATTTCAAAATTAACGCAACATATTTCTTATTTTATAAACTAGTTCATCAGTTCACTAGTTTTTATTTTCTGTTTTGTAACACAAATATTTGTACTTCTCATACATTTTGCACACAAATGACAATTGCTGACTTTCTACTGTGGTACATTTACTTTTCTTGATAGTAATATAATGACAAGAATGATTGTCTTAAATACCATACTAGTAATGGTAGTAATAATGATTAGAATTTAGGCTTACCTTGTATGCCAGTCTGTATGGGCAGTTTTGACCAAATCCCACAGGCGGTTCTAATTTTCTCAACATTTCATACATTTCTGTATAGTGTATCCTTCCTCTAAACATAAGAAGACATTAAATAAGAGAAAATATATCGTCAGAAGAGATTTTGAATATTCTCAGAATAAACAAAAATATCATGTGCTGATCATCTTTTATTTTGAAAACTACTTTTACTGAGATAATTCTTATTAAGTTTAACTGATTACACAACAATGATAGTGATCATAACTTTTACTCATGTCGTAACCATTCATCAGCTTCAACATTCTTTTCCTCCCACAATAAGCTTCATTTGAAATTGGTGATTAAGTTGGAATTTCTTTTAAACAGTATTAAAAGTAACCTCCTTAAATACATATGATGTGTATTTGTAATACCTTGTATGTCTGTCAGTACTCAATTATCTCTGTTACACGCATAACGCTTCTTCTTAATGGAAGCTTTAATCGAAAATGAAGAATGCGGCCAACTCTTCCCAAGATGTGGCTTTTTTTAAATTATCTTTTTGAATTTTCAACTGCAGTTTTTTACTATTGCGATGTGGACTGCAGTAAGTAAACCCTCAAGCTCTCTCATTTTGCTGTTGATGGTTAATTTACGCGACTATGGAAATGAGTACTTTAGCTTTTTTCAGCAAACCTTCCATCTCACCAACCAGTCTGAAAATTGATTTTAAGGCATATCAGCTTAAGCAATAATGGATGGAAGTAAAAAATAAACAGTTACAGTAGTAGCAGTTTGAAAGAAATGTGTTATAAAGGGATTTCATGGGATTTTTTTCCGAGATTTGGGTAAATAAAAACTTCAAACTTTAATTTTAGTTGTGAAAAAAATGAATCAGTTAATGAGATTTGAAAGATAGGTAGATAGAAGACAAACTGATGTTAAAGAGAGTGGAATTTTCATAAATTGTCTAGTATGAATAAATTAATGTAAACTCAACTATTTTGTCCTTTGGATCCTGCAAATCTATTCACTACAAGAAGAAGGTAGAAAAGTTGTGAAGAACAATATCTTTCAGTTGGTTTATTCCGTATAAGACTATAAAACGGCTTAAATGTTTTACAGAATTTAGAAAGCCTAACCTTTGGTACCTTTTCATTTCAGTGACAACAGACAGAATACTACACACTGCCACTCAGCATACAACAGATAATTCCTATCTGACTGAGAAAGCTCCATATTTTCATGACTTTAGGTTTCGTAGGGATTGAGGTGGTCAGTGGGCTAACCTTGTCACCTGAAGGATGTGAGTTAGGTCCCTAGTGTAGTCATAGGTACGCACTGTCGACGATTTTTAAACTAGGACAAAGTAACTGTCCAGTGGTCCTTGGTTTTCATTGGTTCTGTAACTGATACTGATTCTTTACGAAGTCTACATTTATGCTATGTTTTTGTTGGTAAACCAGTTTGTTTGCTACTGGTCGTGAATATAAACAGCCTCTAGTAAAAATATCTATTGTTATCACTATTACCATCTAAGTATAAGGATTTATATAGTTTGTTTTTCACCAGTCCTAGTATACAGTGGTATTATGCATGCTGATAAATCTAAATGATGTTACTACCCAAAATTATTAACTGGGGAAAAGAAACATAAATATTAGTTACTCTACTATATATTAAGTGATAATAGTTAGGGATTCTTAAAATTTCGTTGTAGTATTTGTTCAGTTGACTCAAGCATTTCCCTCCAGTACAATGATTCACGCTTCAAAATCCCACTTCGAATACTTCATCCTAACCAGTTTGATAAAACCTTAAGGCCAATACATTAAAAAGGTTTACTGCATAAATTATCATTGAACAAGTAGAATTCTAAATAGTCCTTCAATAAAGTATAATTATATTTCAATGGTTTGCACACAATGATAAGTTTTTGTTATTGATAATATTTCGAGCGAAATTACCAATAACAAAAACTTATCATTGTGTGTAAACCATTGAAATATAATTATACTATATTTGATTTATTCCACAATGCTTAAACTTTTTACTGACATTAAGTCCTTCAATACTTCTTATCTTTGTAAGCTAAGAGCTAAACAGGTTTCGGAAAGAGAGAAGGTGGATATCTATTAAAAATTAAACTCTTTAATTTTTATTTTCAGTGGATGTATTTATAGTTTTGAATTTATTACAGTGTAAGTTGTCTTTTAAAGAAATATTTAGTGAGTAAATACAACCTGTTTAACAGATCTAGCGAGATAGAAGTCAACTAACAAAAACTATGTGATTGATAGAATGAATAATAACAGCGATAATGAACACCAGATAGCTTGTTATACTGCACAATTTTCATTGTACTTAATAGTTGTACGAGGCTTTAAACTGAATACAGCAAATTGCAGAATATGTGAAACAATGACTAATATTTTATCTCTGAGAGTAATTTATTTCATAATTTTTGGGGAAACAGTAAATTCACCTAGGCATTAACATTGCAAACACGTCATGTTTACGAATACAAGTGATACTAAATGATTCATAATAAATTTCTCTGGTAATGATAACAAGGATGGGATTTATGACATCGTTTAAACCATTGGTAGTTAGAAATATATAACCGGAATCTGTTCTCAAGAATGGTGAGAAAATCGTTATATTCTGTATCATTTTAAAAACAAGTGCTTAGTGATGGTACTGAACAACGACTGCTTTACGTCACTAATTAACTAAAGTTGGAATTCATTGAATAATAATTACTCACTCTTAAATTGGAACGCTCAAGGTTTGGACTTTGGTGAGGCCATGAGTGTATCAAGATCCGTAAGATCTTTCAGTGAGCAAAACACCCTCCTGATAGTGACTTGCACTCCGGTGTCCTCAGTATCTTGACTTCTGACAATTAGCGACATAATACAGTCGTTATCCAACGTCGTTACTAAATGATCGTTTTAATAACGAATTTAATGGTGTGTTTATTATGAGTCTTACCTCACTTAAGGATGAACGTTTTTAAACAACCTCAAAGTAGGAGAAAACGTATGTTCAGGGATTTCAGTGACTTTTTTGCTAGTATTACTTTGTGACGAAAAGCACTGAGGAAAGTAAATCATTCATGAAAACATGCCTACAATTTATTGGTGAACGTGTAAGTTAGATGATTTAATTGCGAAGCTTTTACTATATTTCTAGGCAACGTCTTAAGCACTGACTTTAATCTGAAGCTTTTCGAGAACACAACTACACCAGTATCATCCACCTGAGCTACAAATTTTCTCAATCATTTCTAGACCTACAATTTGTATTTCAATAAATTTTATTAGATGACTGAAAATAGGATATCCGAATCTGGATTCCATAACTGCATCACAATCACTGATGAAATTAGCTGTCTCTACTGATATACATGGGGTCTGACGTACATACCAATACTAATGTTCACCTTGCACGTACAAACAAGGATATTATATGAACCAAATGATAAATATACAGGCTAAATCAAAATTACAATCAAGACATTTCATGGTAGCACTTTATATCTGAAGTTCTCACTACTATCAGAATGATAAAATATGCGGAGTAGATCAATCACTTCAAAGTCCTGTATGTATATAAGTTTCTCTTAAGTACTTCATCAAAATTTCAGTGAATGGTAAAGCTCGTTAAATTGTGAATTTCATTTACTTCCTAAAACATGAATAACTGCCAGGATTCACCTCTAAATCCTCACGCCTTAATAGTCAAAACATAAGACTTACTGAGTGAATGTATGAACATTTTTTTAAATGATAGACAGTACTTCCACTCAGCTTTAAACTTCAGACGGCCGGGTTATACTAGCAACGTGTGTGTTAATCATTATCCTAAATTAATTGAACCGAGCATCTTACATTCTACTTCGAGGAACAATTACGATAATTTTACCCTATTCTCCCACTTGTTGTATTCTCCTAATCTATTGGAAGGTCTATCTATCACAGCATTATTTAAAGGCTAACAACGTCGTCTGTTAGGAATAAAACAGTATTAGGAATTCTTTAAACTCCATACTAAGTATACGTTATTTTAGAATTTCGGAAAAATTAAATTATTTCGCTTTTTATTTAGTTGCATTGACTTTTTTTTCGACAATCTCTTTAACATAATTCAACTTTGTAAGTCATACATTTTTTTCATAGGATATTAAAATATTCACATCATATTTAACTTTTATTCAGGAAGAAAACACTGGTAATAATTATTATTATGAAGACAAAAAAAGAACAAATGTTCAACTTATTCGAAGAATAAGTTGGCTGATAATTATTTTGAATGGTATGTGATTCAACTAAGAGGCAGACTGTCAGTCTGGATTTACGCATTAAAAAAAACACACGCATAAAGTTAGCATATTTAGGAGTATATACACGCATATAAACAATGAATATTGTTGCCTGATTGATTTAATTAATCAAGAAATAACAGCATAAGCTATATTTGTTTTATTTAAGATTCTTATATCTAATTTTTCTTATCATACTATTAAACATTACTTACTACTGGGAAGGAACTTAAAAATTTGTCTATGAAAAGTACTCTATTAGTTCGGATTAAAATTGTAAGATTATGTGGGTTAAGTGATTGCAGAATAGTGTGTCTGTCTACTAGTCTAACTACTATCAACTTTTTAGGCGATGACTAGCAAAAATGCTTTCAAAAGAATGGTTACTGAACAAAGAACATTCTTTTCGATAAATTCATCATCAGGCTATACAATGAATTGCCATCCTAGATATTCTCCTTACAAGAAAACCAGATGATTATATAAAGAGAAATTTGCATAGGAAAGGCACATGAACAAGACAATATACACATTTTCATAGCTTCGTTCCTCTCCGGTACAAAAGAATTTTAGTAAAGACCCTCAGCCACAGGGTTAGAGCTATATGCTTAGAAGAGGTAACTAAAGATGAACTAAGGATTGTATATGACACCCTAATTAAAAAAATAGCTCTCAAAACAAATTCACCAAGAGATACATGACCAAGAAATCGGAAAAGGACTATTCACTATCCGTAAACAAGAAGCCTTTATACACACGACTGCAATTCAAGGGCAATATACCTAGCGCAATAATTACGAAGAAGTTAAGAAAATCAGTTCAAAGAGCTTTTAATGCTGAAAAACCACAAGTCTTATTTTCTAAACGACCGATGGTGATTCCTCAATTGAAAGATGAAGTACCTAGACTAGCTACCTATTCTTGTATCTACCAGTTTAACTGTGCTTGTGGTGGAGCTAGTTATATTGGCCGTTGCTCTAGGAACTTAATTTTTGGTGTTCCCTCGGGAACATCTGGCAATGTGGCTAAATAAAGGTGTAGTTAGAAGCTTCAATAGCTGTATATTAGGACATCTGGTCCAAACCAGCCACAAAGCCAATATTGAAGAATCCTTCTCTATCATCTATCGGGTACCAAATAAACTACCAAAAACATCCAGGGAGAACGATCTCTTCAAAAACTGAAAGTATAAGTCATTTAAAATGTTAACCAGGATTGAGGATTTTAAAGCACTATAAATTTCATCTCTATTTTAGAGAGTTTTATTAGCCTGAAGTTTGGTTAGGAGTACTTTACAGAAATATGGTCTCACTGGATTTCACAAAAACAAGCGGTCGCTGTTTATTAGTTACTCTAGCATTTTTGAAAACTATTGCTAACATTTCTTTAATCCAAATTTATATATATTTATATATATATACTTGAAATCTTCTCGTGTACATAAATTTTGCATAAATACTAACTCCAACTTTGACCTTAGTAATATCAGATACAAAACTACCTATTTAGGTCATTTTCTTTTGACTTACTTTGCACCTGGATCGTATTCAGCCCAAACACGAATGAATTCATCTAAATGATGCGATCCCAGTATAGATGAATCTCTTGTTAAATAATCAAAATTATCCATAATTACAGCGACAAATAAATTGAGCATTAAAAATGAACAGAAAAAATTAAAAGATACAAAATATGCATAGGATGCATTGCTTCCACAATTGTTTGCTGAACGATTTACACATTCTTGTCCATAAGTACAAGCAAGCATTATCTCCTGCCATGATTCACCTGTAGCACAACTATAAACAAAAATTAATGAGAAATAAATGTAGCACGAAGTATGATCAATTTATTATAATAAATTTACGCTCAAATTCATAGATTATAACTCTCACATCAAACGATAAGAGGATGATTAACATGGAAAATTCTTTAAATCAGGTAACATATAAGCTGCACTGCTGTAGTCAAACTGGTCAGAGTCTCTTCACTGAACCACTTGTTTTAATTTTCTACTTTTTGTTTGTCTTCTATATCCGGCGGCCTGCTTAAATTACTGGGCTACCAGAATTTTCATCTATCAAAGTGCTTAAACTCTTCTGCATTTATTATAGTTTTAATCGTGCAATTATATCAGATGACCAATACATGAACTCGCGCGCATATTTAATTAGTTTCCCACTATAAGCTATGCAATTTTCGAAGGAACTGATGAAAAAATGTAAAGAATTGGTTCTCTTCTTATATCTAGCAGCACTACGACGAATGATGTACTTCACATTATTGCTTTAAATGCAAATTCTGTATGAAGAGGAAATATTTTGGAACTAGATACGCTGCAAATCTCTGTGATATATGTTCACATATTGTCTGAAATAAAGCTTTACTATTATTATTATTTATTAGCAGTATAAAACTACATGGTAAACAACTTATCACTTGATTAAATGAGCTACGTATAAGAAGTAAATACTTTAAACCTTAATTAAATATCATCTAATTTAGCGTTTCTAAGTATTATACGTACCAGTATCACTACAGATTTGAAAACTGACATTAAGAAAAATGTTGTTTTGAAAACTAAAACATCTGTCCTTGAACTAACTTATATTCTTCAGAAGTACAGTTTCATTAATGGGAAATATACATTCAAAGCTTTAATAAATTATCTCCCAGAAATCGTGTTCTACCTAAATATATGTATTTATTTAGTTTTCATTAAAGAAGGATATCAACTTGGGAATTGCCTTTTAAATAAATTTTTATGAGAAGTAAAATGGGAGCTTAACGTAATAAATATATATTATTATTATTCCCTTGGGTTCTGGGTGGAACATAGGGCTTCAATAACACATCTCCACATTGCTCTACGTTCTGCTGTCCTCTTTAGCTGGGTCCACGATTGCCCATAATCTCTCATCCCCCCTTCGCACGATCTCCATGTGACCCTAGGACGATCCACTCATCGCTTCCCATTTGGATTCCACTTGAGCAATGGCCTGGTGCGTTATGCCATTCGACAGCCCCCTCAACGTATACCCGAGACATTTTCTCCTACATATATGATAGTATAATATAGTTATCTATCGATGCATTCCAGTTAATGCCATTGATTTAGGTGGATTCACAATAGAAACTGTTTCATGCTAATGCTATCAACAAAAGCGATGACAAATTTCGAAGAAATGCCGGTCAATTATCCTTTAATTGGAAAGCTCAGAAATGGTTACGAAACTCTTATGTGTAAGCTTGCATAATATGCATATCTGTCTGGTATATGCTAGTCACAGTATTCTATTCTACATTTTAAACTGCGAAGAGGATGCCATCACTTTATTGTCGCTTTTTACAGTTAGGTATGTCTTCCGAATAGACACCTTGTCAAAATGCAGGCAAACAGTTCCTCAAAATAATTACAATGATGTTAGAACAACAAGCTGGATGAATTCGTTTTTCATAATTGTTCACTTACAAAATTTAGGTAATCGATCCTAGTTAGTAAAGAATATGTTTACTCTTTGCTAAATATGGCGCTGAAGATGTTGTCCGGAAGGACGACGAAAGCTTCGCGACTAAACCAACCAGCTCAGAGAACACTTTTAATTGCAAATCATCCACCTGAGCTACAAATCTTCTCTATTATTTCAGAATATGTTTAGTTGAGTCTCCTTAATTTTAATTTTCAGTTAGGTCTCATTACTGATCCGATAATCTAGGGAGTAACATTGAGTGAATAAGGTACTAGAGAAAATTAGATTGGTTTGATAGAATTAATTCCACTCAAAATTCACACGCCATAAGTTTAATGCATTCGTCAGTATATTAGTCTAGTTCATCCACTATTTCTACTTTCTGTACAGTCTGACATGGTCATTTTTAGAAGTAATTATACGCCTCAAATTTACTTGTCGTGAATCTTTATCAAAATATTTCTAAGATCTACAACGTACCAATCAAGCTTGCGACAGACGTCAAATGATATGCATAGAATTATGCATGTTATTTACCAACATAAGCGGATCTGTGTAGTTTAGAAGTTCACAAACACAAATTTTTCAAATCCGTGGCTTTAGTATAATTAAGTCAGTTAAAAGATTACTAAGGTTAAACAAATTAATGAACAGTTATTCTGTCTTAAATTTTGAGATTTTGAAGAGGTAATCATGGAAAAATAGACACTATTTTTAATATATTTGAACTCTTATGGCCATTTTGAATTTTCTTATTTCTTCTGACGGAAGGTAATCTAACATTTATTTGATGAGGACTGACAGTGGAATGCTGGGCGTGTATTTTGTCCTCTTTAGAATTCAACAACCAGACATATGAAAAAAATAATATCAAAATATTAAAGTGTTATAAACTTACCGAAATAACAAAAGGACTGCATAAGGAAAACTATGAAAGTTATTATAACTCGTAATTTGTCCTTCAGCTTCATTTATAGCGATCGTACCAAATATCTAAACATATATGAAGAAAAGAAAGACTTGTGAAGTATTTGTCAGTAAAAATGCAGACTATATTAAACTAATTATCTGGTAAAATGAAGGTGAAAAACCATGAAGCGTTAAATCACTAAAGCGGTAATAATTCCGAAGAGCTTTTGTTTGCAGAGGACTGTAAATATTACATATCAGCGATTATTTCATTTAAGTACTGCCTTTGTCTTGTCGAAAAAGACAAAACAGCCAAATTACATAAGACCAGTAGCTTCAGGAGCTATGAAATTAAATATCCTGTAAAGAGGAAGAGCATCTGTAGCCGTCTTGAGGAGCTAACATTACATTTATTTAGGATTCACAATATAGTGAAAATAACTCGAAATATAAAGTACGGTAAGGATATAGACTTTCGGAGAGAAAACAAACAACGGATGTTTGAAATAAAAAGAAATTTAAAAGAAATTTACTCTGATATTGCAAAAGCATATTTTCGAAATTACTTAAAGTTTATTGGTGGATGGTGACTAGCGATGGAATCCAGGATGCGCATTTCGTCCTATTTAGGACTCGTCACCGGATGTACCTGCATTCCGCAGTGAGTGATGACGTTCCCACCAGGGCTCGAACTCAGTGCCCATAGTTTCAAAAACCAAAGCGTTATCTACTAGACCACTTGGGCCACTAGAGCCACCTCTTGTACAACGGGTCATATTAATTATTTAATTCAATTTTGGATTTTCCCGTCGATTGATTGGACCGAAGTGCTCGGTCTTAGGTTGACATATTGGCTCCTTGTGCAGATGCTTCGACGATGTCCCAAATAGGACGAAATGCACGTCCTGGATTCCATTGCTAGTCACTATCCACCAATTAACTTCTAATTACTTGCCCAGACATCGTCGAAGCATCTGCACAAGAAGTCGACATGTCAACCTGAGACCGAGCACTTCGGTCCAATCAATCGACGGGAAAATCTAAAAATGAATTAAATACTTAAAGTTTGGTTAAACACTAAGATTTTCTGATAGACCACTTGCGAATATCTAAACGTAGCATTGCAGTTGTACTAATCCCTATATACCTAAAATCAGATGGAGGTGTACATATTCATCTCGTTGCAGCATACAGAATATATAAAGCGTTAATGTTATGTGAATGAAACAGTTTGTTTAGATTGTACAAATCAATCATCTCTTTGCTGTTCAAAATTAATTTTGTGCAGATCCACTTTGTATTAGTGTGGTTTAAGTGGTTATTAAACCTGTGCTTCCGTAAGTATGAAAAAAAATAATGACCTGAACACTCACAGAATTCTTTATGAAGTGAAAATATCTGAAACAAGAGAAAAGATGGCCAGCTAGCATCACGATATCACATGACAAACATCAGATGTAACAATATGTGAAATTCAAGGGATCAGACAGCTATTTCAAGACGTAGTAAATTGAACAAATAACTGATGACGTCTACTGCTAGCAAGCAAAATTGAGAACCTGATGTTTACGTCATTTGATCTGACTTCAAATTACTATTATTTTATATGAGTGCATACATCAGTCAGCAATATGTACAGTACGACTTTTATGAATACGTACAGTTTAGAAAAATGTTACATTTTCTCGTTATACGTTTGGACACTTAAAATTTTGTATTTGTATAAACCATATTTTACTATTTCTGAAATTGAGGTAGTTTTTACCAATTTTAGTGGATTTTTGATTTTTGTTATTCTGTCATTTTGTTTGGTGCATTTTTAAATGTTTTTGGAGTACAAGTTTGTACTTCAAGGAAACAGGATGATAGGATAGTGTAACACGTTATAAAGTATCCTTTTAAATGTTTGCCTAAAGAATTAAATTAATCAATTCATGCATGAAATAGTTGTCAATCTAGTGAAAACTTTGGGAAAAATATTCGTAACTCAGTGTTGATTGGAATCATGGTTTGTTGATCTTTTATAATTCAGTAAAAAGTAAATTTTCCGGAGGATTTCATCATGAGCTGATATCAGTTAAAAAACCATTGGGAAACCTGGGAGTACTGGACAGCCGTTTCGTCTTAGTTTTGGACTCTTCATCAGTACTCACCCACCACCAGGGTTCGAACCCATGACCTCTGGTTACAAGGCAAGCTCGTAGACCATTAGCCACTGGGACTTGATCCAATCGCCAGTCCATGAATTCCAGCTTCTGCCAATTCAGAATAAACTGCGACCACAGCGCAATGTCTTCTTCAATGAGTTACTGCCTCACCTTCAACCTGCTCTACCCTACTGGTCACGGGTTCCCACTAGGACCCCAGGTAACTGCCTGAATAAGGCGAGTTGCTAGTGAGCATCAGATCAGAATTGTTTTTTTTTTTATACATCCTGCAAAATATCCTTTCCATCGTTACAAAACTTTTATATCGGAAAAGCTGTAGTCAGAAAACAGTCATTTGGAAAACCTTGAAATACCCAATAGCAGATTGTACATGTGAAAACACAAATACGCGACAAACTCAGCCATGTTTATTATAAATATTGGTAGGCTCAGGTAAATTTAAATATATATTTTTGTACTATCATCATTAACATTGTAACCATTCTTGTAACTGTGATCGAAGTTCTATAAATTTGGGCAAACTAGTATACATAACTTTTCAGCTTCACAGCTATTTGCTTTGTACCTTTTATATAGAATTAAATACTTTTGATTTTTTTTACCGGTTTCATTTCGGTGTAACTACTAGTCTCTGTTTACCTTCTGAAAAGTATGTAAACTAAAGTTATACAGACTAGTAAAATGCAACACAGGATTTTACTTGTATCTAAGCTGTGAGTACGGTGGTAACACTTGACATCGCAACTCTGATTTCAAATAAGTACTGTTAATTTATATTATATTCTCAACGGAATTAACCTGTACAAAGATTTTATCTTCGGGAATCATTTACGTATCTCCATCACTCTCATATTATACTTTTTCTTCATATCATGCCTCCGTCTAACTTACAGATCTAGTATTTTGCTATTGAACTGCTCTTTCTTCTTTTAGGTACATTAATAAATTTAGGAACTGGTTTATGTTTTCATTTTGATAAATCATTATTTATTTATTACCAAATAGATTAATTTCTTTTGAATGTCGTGACCTTTCATCAAAACTCTTGCCATTTAAACGAAATGCTGTTCATGGCAGTACAGTTTTAGAAACTAAGCAAAAGACTCACTATTAACTGAATGTCTCTTTTTTGTTAAAGTTGATTTAACTGAGATTTCTGAAACAATGAGTAGGCATTACTCCGGTCAGATCAGTATAATTTTAATATTTCGATCCACATATTCACAAGTTAAACACTCTATTAAATACCAGATTGACAAAAACAAAAGATACCTCGTGTCCAGAAAATAAAAAACTTATTCAAAATTATCTTGTGTTAATAAATAATAATGGGATTCACTTAGCCGAACACTGTGAAGAAAGTTCTGAGGCAAAGTAAACCCCATATCAGTGCATTCTATGCAATCGAAGTTCTTCTGTTCTAGGTCACCTAAAATATTTTTAGTGTTACTTCATAAATGTTTGTTTTTTTATTGAATAGCTAACCACTTGGAAAAACTGCACTAATTCCAAGTAGTAAGTGGTACAACCTTATGATTGTTGGAAAGGGAAATGTTTCCGTGTGTTTCTTTAGGTCACCCACATAACCTATAAAACTTGATTTTGTACACAGATTCCAACAAACAGTTAACTGAAATAAACCAGTGAAACAAAACTTGCCATTATATAAGATATTTCCACCGAAAGTGGAAACAAAATTAATACTACAGTATCTTATAGTGTATATACACTGACATTTACTGTCAGTTTCTTACATTTACAAAAGAACTTTTTATTGATAATCTGGTAATACATACTACCCGTATAGTAAATAAAAATTACCGACCACCAAGTGGCTATGTAATTCTAGGGCGTAATTAACTAACTATTTATATTTATAATCACTTAGGATGGAACTCATATTTAAAATATAACTGGTATTTAACCTTTTAAATTCACTTAATATTGTCGAGGAAAAGTGCTTGAAGTGACCCAAGGTTGGCAGACAAGTTTTATATCATAGGGTGACTTAGAAACCTAGCTGACCACAGGATTCGAAACCTCAGACCGACAATTCCGATGGTAAATTAAGTTTCCACTCCAGATTAATCACCACTCAGTTCTGCTACACAATGTGTTGATCTCTGTACTATAAATTGCTGAAACTTAAGGATAAAATAATGATTTGTTGTGTGTGTACATTTGTTTTCCGACATTTGGTCTTATAATTTTTATCAACAGAATAAATTATCAAACTCACTTGCATTCCTACTACAGCATAAATGAAGAACAGCATTGTGATCAAGAGGCATACATAAGGTAGTGCTTTAAATGATTGAATAAATGTCCATAAAAGTATTCGAATGGTATAACCTTGTCTGATTAACTTGATTAGACGAGCTGCACGAAAAAGTCTTAAAAAACCTAGATTAAGAAATGAAGAATCCTGAGAACAGAGAAAAGAAATGGGAAAATTGGATTAGAATAAATACTTCAGAAACAAACATATCTAAATAAACTATATATAAGTAGGAAATAGAGATACATTAGCGTTGCATTTTTCCAAATCAGCTTTTCGAAGTAGTATTCATCATATCCCTATTGATTAACATTTAGAAAAATGCTTGGGAATTCTTGGTACAAACACTGGCCATTATGGACTGATTAGTTCATGAATTATTAGCTGAAATTGATTGATGAGCATATTATTCATTATGCTTCAGATAAACAACACTCAAACGTCTAACTAGATGTTGAAGATAATGCTTGAGTCATAACCTATAGACTTAGTCACCAATTGAGCGAGTAATGCCACTTCATCAGCTGTTAAAACACAAGTGGTATAAATTTAAAAGAATCATTTGATGAGATATTTCACTGCATCTACCGTAAACACTTCCAACAACTTGTCCAAGACAATAATAATAAAGCTTTATTTCAGACAATATGCGGACATATGGCACAAAAGTTCCAGCATATTTAGTTCCAAAATACTTTTTTCTTCATACAGGATTTACGTGTAAAGTGAAGTTAAATTAGCGCTCAAGTTCCTTTGAAATAACTGGACAATTAAAACAATGATAAATCCAGATGAAATTAATCATTTTGGTGGAAAGCAATTTCGGTAGCCCAGTAATTCAAGCAGGCCGCCTTGTTTTATCGCGGTGTAATTGCTACACTGAGATACAGTATTCAGAGATTTTATTTTTTCTAATCTTCGGTTAATCACAGTGCCATGAAACAAAACGTATTAGCTTGCAAGGATATTATTCATTCTACAACAAGGACAAATTTGATTCTTAAGTTATAATTCGGAAATTGTTAACATGATTCTGAGTTTCCTGGTGAAACAAAACTACTTTTCCTGAACAACTGTTTAATTGGAAAAATGAGCTTAGTGGCTAAAAATAACGAAAGCTTTTTACTATGCAGCTCAGCTCTGTACATTTTTATCCTAATTTTTTCTTGCATAACTATTCAATGCACTGTAAAAAAAACTGTTCCTTTATGGCGCCTTCTGAAAAAGACAATTAAAATTAATTCTATTCTACTATGGTAATTTGGTTTTTATTAGTAGTAGGAAAATCAGTTTTTATAGAGCTGTCAATAAAGGGGAATAGACTTGAAGTTCTTTTGATTAAATGATGTTATTTTTAAAATAGAAGTTTCTAAACTGTAACGATTAGTACATTTTTTTATAGTCTTCGAATTCCTTTAACAAACAAAAGTGCTAATAAGTTTATCGCATGTATTTAAGTAAGTATCGCCTTTGTGTGGTTACTGATTATGTTCATGTAGGATCAGATAAATAATCAAAAAGATTTACAAACAACTGTTCACTTTTAAAATTACAAGCACTAAAATTCCCATTACAGAGTTTTTCTCATCAAATATTTTGAAATGTCTGCGCATTACATGTAAAGCCATCAGTTAGGTTTAAGGTGTATCACAAACCAGTCCCATACGACTGGAAAATAGCCTTCAAATATTTCTTGATATGAAATGAATCAACTGTCGATATTCGTTTGGGACAATTAGCTACAGAAGAAGTTAAAGGCTTGGATGTTAAACCAACATTTTTTAACCAAACATTTCCGTGTTTTACAGCTTATGATAAAGCCGGAACCAGTAAGTTTAGTTGAATGTGCTCATTGTCATATGACAAAATTTCACTGAGTTTTGGAAGAGTCCATCTTGGAACATCTTTATTAAAGCAGATACTACAGAGATTCAGAAAGATTAATCCCCAATAAAATATTTTTTATCACACACCTTACAAACGACAGTATGTGGTCTTTTAGGCATTTACATGATCTCAATAATCAATAGTTTCATACCCTAGCTAGTATGAGTTAAATCTCATTGATGAGTTGGCATTTATATTTTATCTTTGTCTTAATTGTAATATTATATTTTCCCATTTGAGCATAGCACAGTACTATCTTCGATTAATATCTTTTCCGTTTCTTCACTTTTCTTTTTACGATTTTCTAGATGGCATGCATATATGACGCCTGAGGATTTGAAACACCACGTACTAATGATGAGTCTGTTTTTCTCTTCCTAATCAATTCAAATTCATCCTTAATATAAATTCACAAGTGCAGAAATAACAACTTTATTAAGGACTAAAGAGATGAATCTTTGATTGAGCAATCTTCCACAATATATATATATATATATATATATAAACCTTACCATTCAGTGAGTTCTTAATGAACATTTTAATCGTGAAGAAAACCACCTGCTGATTTATCAAGATTACCCATTTACACAATATCAGAAACTTTATCTTGTTTGGTTCGACTTTTGGAACTATTCGGAAATCTTTAAGTTTGATTTATTTTAACTTTCGTTGATGAAGATAAAAACAATTGAATACGATTTCCCTGTTTATTCCTAACATCTAGTAAAGGTCGTTCAAGAGAACCGGGTGTTTTGAGCTCTTATATACTACCTTTCCAAAAAATGTCAACATAAGACTTTCGAAAATGTTTGAGCGAACAAATTAAAAGTGGCAATGAAGGAGGAAGTATCATGTGTATTGGATTTATTCAAAATTTCATCTACAGGAGAATGAAGGTTATGAAATTTATTCAATAAATTTTTTATACGTCTATCAAAATGTAATAATGTGTTTAAAAATTTCCGTGTTATATACGTATATATTTTTTTTCTGCGAAAATTAAAAAATACAACTTACGTGCAGTTCAGAAACAAGTACATCTGTTATACTACCAACTACAGTAATAAAATCAAATGTATTCCAGGAATCCCGAAAGTAGCTCTGAAAAGAATACAATGTGTCAGTATTAATTATTTCACGTTTGATACCAATATAGTTAGACACATTTCAATTCTACAACAAATATAAATGCTATTTTTGAAAGATATATTAGTGAAAATTTGAATAACAGTATAAAATCTTGGAGAATTGAAATGTAGAATATTGAAGCATATGTAAAAGTTTATGCAGATCTACCAAAACCAAAGAAGCATTATATAATCCTTGATACTTGAAACACAGACAAGTAATGCTTATAGGTAAATTTAACTCTTGACAGCCTCATAATATTCTGTGAGAACACTAGTAATTAAGGTAAACAGTCAGAGATAGTGTTATCGCTTATTTTTAGATCGTGAATGCCATTCGAGTAGTTCAGTATTCATACATTCGGCTGACTATTGAACAATTCCGTTGCCATTATCATCTAAAACGCAGCTCGATTTTTAACTGCAAAAATCAAACTTCAATCTCTTTTGCTTTGTGTTTATAACAGTAATAATTATAACAATCTCATTACTTAAAGATTATAAAAGTGATTTCTTTTAATGGAAATGTATGTATATTAAGTGAAGAATTAAAGGTATTTTGTTTTTCCATTGTTTTTCTATTATTCATTTCCATTAATAAATGATTTCTTCAACCGAAAACATTTTGTACTGGTCTTTTTTTACTGATTGCAATCGATTATATTTTTATTTTTGTTCAAGAATTGTTGTTTTGATAAGCGAAAAATATCATTCTTGATTCTTTAAATTTTTATATACATTGAATAATGGATAATATAACTAAACGGTTTACAGTGGTATAACATCTTTTAATTGGATTTTAGATTTTCCCGTCGATTGATTGGACCGAAGTTCTCGGTCTCAGGTTGGGAACATCATCACTCACTGTGGAATGCAGGTATATCCAGATGAAGAGTCCAAATAGGACGAAATGCGCATCTTGGATTCCACTGCTAGTCACCTTCCACCAATAAACCTCTAGGTATAACATCTTCTTTATACACTCATCTTCGGCTCGAAAAACCACGTGTTTTAATTTACTCATATTATGTTAGATATCAGTAACATGGCTTATTTCAATCTGTAAAATGATTGCAAATTGACTTCCGCTCCAATTAACTGAGCAACAAAATAGAACTAAGTCTCTGACCCACATCAGAAACTAGCCATTAAGAAACTTTAAATGTAAGGTGAGTGACTGAAGAAACTAAGTTCTGTCATAAGGAGTTAGTCCATAAAGGAAGTCAAGCTCATGTTTACGTTACAAAATAATAGTTTTACTAGGACAAACAATAACGACTGTAGCTCACTAGCTTCAGGTGATAGCAATGGATAAATTTACATCAGCAGATCCTTTCAACTGGAAGTTTATCAGTTCTTATTACAGTCTTCGGGATGTCTTTCACCAATCAGAGTTTGAGGGTGTTAATAAATAACTAAACGCACTTTGACTACGCTAAAAAACATGTTTTGAACTTATAAATAGTTTAAACTGAACACAGCTGAAGAATTATATATTTACTGATTTCCAAATAAAAAAAATTTTAGTGGTTCAGTGCATAGGAGAAAAACTGTAACTGATTTTCTATTCTCACCTTTGGTCCAAATGCAATTAATTTAAGCAAACATTCCATTGTAAACATTGCTGTGAATGCTGTATTCAGATACACTAATGTACTACAATAATTCTGATATTTTTGTGTTTCCCAGTCAGGAATACCCATATTAGCATCTGTATAATCTGGTCTATAATACTGTTACATAGAAATAAAATTGTGTGAATAAAACAGATTAATAAGTGAATAATTCAAATGACTATCAAGATATAAGAAATAGTGATTACCCAAGAGAATACAAGAAACCTCTAAAAATATCACGTTTATTTTCTATTTATACGTCAGCAGTTAAAAAACTGTGAATATAACTGATAGACGTATTTTGTAATCAGGTGGAAAGCTAGCAACAATATACGTCGTGATCACTTTCGAAGCGATGGTTTTGAAGCTGTTGATTCACTGCTAATGAACACAGACACATGACTCTATAGATGAATACATCTCAGTTTCGTCCTTTTAAAATTATCTCCTAGTTAAAAGTCTGGGCGTAAAAGAAGTTCTCCATAGATTTTCTTCAGGTTCTTACAGTTAAAAAATAAAACGTACAATTATAAAAAACAGCGAGGAGCATATATTGCATATAAAATATTATGTCGATTTAAAAGCACATGACTTTCAAGTTGTAACGTAACACAATAAACAGCATTTCATTATTATTATTATTTTATTCGTTTACGTTACCAGTGGAACATAGAGCTTCAAGGTAAAGCTTTGAAGTTTCGGTAGCAGTGGTGGGGTCACTATCCTTATGCACAACCTTCCCTCTTTACCGGTCTTAGCTTTAGGAGTGCGTCGGCCTGGGATTGAACCCCGGCCTACATGCGTGGTTGGCAAACTGTATTTGTATGATAAATGTGGTGGGCTGAATCCAATCCTTAAGCACTGTGAAATGGATATGATGATTAGTCATACTGAATTCATGAAATGTGGGCAAGGAAAATAGATAAAAGTTCAAGGTCGTTGAATGTTGTCTTGGTTACTAGTACAAATATTGTGTGCGTCATTCAGAAGATAGTAAGACTATGGTAAATAATTCATCTTGATATAATCAATACGTGGAATAAATACAACAGAGACAAAATATCAACATAATAAATTAATGCAGTCAGTTAGAGTATACATGCATAGAGAATTCGACAGAATGTTTGAAGTTTGTTTATTAGAAGAATACAAATTATAAAACATTGTGACTTAAATTGTTTAGAAAAAAGACTAGAGAAAGAGGGGGTTGCAGGAGGAACAGTGTCTGAAACTGTTCTTTCTACATTCAGAGAGCTGATTTATCCGACCATATCATCATATCTTCAGCTATAAAAAGAAATAAACCGAGTGTAGTGACAATGTCTTAGGTATGTGGTATATAACTCTAAAGGTTAGACTGAATTCTACTCAGGCCTTGTGTTTACTAATGTGACCCAAGCAGGCTCTCAATGGATCTCGGTTCCACAGGTGAAGTTTCCCAGTCGTATTGCAACAGCAGAAGGAAAGACACGGAAGCCAAAGTATATTTTTCACTGATCAAAGCGCTGTTTATTTATATACAGTTTATATTTTTAACCAATCACTGAGCGTGTGATTTTGGTTTACATTAAACGACATGAAATAGAATGTTCAAATACATAATGTTCTGTTGCTAACGCAGTACTGAACTGTGCGAATAATATTCTGACTCTAGCATCAAACAGAATGTTCAAATAGATATATTATATTCTGTTGGTAATGCTGTATTGAACTGTAGGAATATGTGAGAATAATGTTCCGTTGGAAAGCGTTGTCCATATCACACCACTACAGTATACTCTACATAACTTGAACTATAGATAGTGGATGAAGAAGTGTTAGGATCAGATAAACTGTCTTTGAGTTCAGGAGCGAACTCAAAGTCTACGTCGATTTTTATCATCATTAATAACTGGATATTAATTAACTGCCTTAACGGTCTTAGAAATATGTCATTAGAATAGGCTTACAGGATTACTAAAGCCTGATTGATTCAAAAACATTTGTTAAAGAAAGATGACTTAACACATTTTTTATTATATTAAACTATATTTAAGTATGATATCATCTACTATATATTTTCTTTGTAAATTTGCACATTTTTCTTATGAATTAGGATAAACTGAATAGTAAATCTCATGTGCACCAATTAAATGAAGATTTTTAAGTATAATGAAGTTGAAAGGGAGCTAGAGGATGATAATCTGTCCCTGTTCGGTAAGAATAAACGTAAAATCTAGAAATCTACAGTCTTTTTTAATAAATACCACTTTCTTTTTATGAAAGATATCTAGATAATATAGTTACTGGTTGAAAAGGTAACAGTTCATTTGATACACTGAAGGTTACTAGAAATGATAACCTGATAAAGTCACAACTTAAACTGACTTCTGTTAATTAAGTTTTCTCATTCCTTAGGCGAGTTTCAGAAGTACGTCTGTCAAGAATCGAACTCCTATCTCATGCGTGGCTGGCAGGCATTCTACCCCTGAATCACCGACTCACAAAAGCTCCTGCACCGGGAGTCAGATCCAAGCAACCTAACTGAAAGCCAGGGATTCTAACCGCCAAATGAAGCGGAACCAGCAGGACTGCTGTTAACGGCGAAATCATACATAATATTCCAGTGTGGAGCCTTGAAAGTTTTAAACTAGTGTCTATTAGTCTGTATTCCTAATGATTTTAGCCTGTATTCAATAAATTAGAATTTTTGGAGCACTAATCATTTATATATAAGAATAGTAATATACTACTAACCTTCATCATAAGTATTAAAGTGTTCAGTGCGATCATTGTCATGATGTAATATTCAAATGGACTTGAGACAACCAGTCTCCATATTCTGTATTTTGTTGATGCAATGTTACTGGGCATATATCTACACAAGGGTTTTGCATTGATTGCAAATTCAATGCACTGTTTCTATAGATTAAAGTTATAAAAACAAATAAAAATCATTTAGGTTAAGTTTTATTAACAAATGGTTTATAAGTCAAGTACAGTATTTACAAGTATTTCTAATAATGGTGTCATTCTGGATTCTCATCACTATAAAGTTAGGTGCTTACAGTTAGCTATATGAAACTGTAGGTCAAACAGCTTCTTATCTCTAACTGGCTAGTCAGTTAACTTGTTTGGCTGATAAGTTACACCTTACAATTCACGTTTAAGTTGATGCACGATTACCTGGCAAACAAAATTTATTTAATAAGATACGTAAAGCTGTCATGACTGTTTATAAGCCCCAGGTATTTCGAGGTGTTTTGATTAAATTTTAATGGCATATTTGCTCATATTACCACTTCATACCATTTTTACTTCACTTAACTACGTAGTATTTGCTGTCATGGGTTTCAGTTTTCGGTCAGTAACATTTTCTAACTGGTAATCGACTCATCGCTAACCAACGCTGAAATTTGTATATTTGAATGACCACAGGTTTCGCATTAGCAACTTATTCCTTACCTGACTGGTGGTTTGTGTTCGGAAACCTACCGGATGGATCCTCAGTTAAATCATGTTTGATAAGTCAATGTTTGTACGCATGTTTAAAGTGTAAGACAGCGTATTCATCTTGCAGACGTTTGTATCAGCATATTTATTTTTAAGTTTTATTCTGTTTTCAACTGCGTCTTGCATTCATGTGTCATGAACAATATTATTTCATGAAATTTCAAAGGATTTCAGTGCAACTGATACTTTCGAATTAGAAAATTAGTCAAGAAGACTTTGTTGAAGACTCTGTTTTGATTACACCATAGTATCACATCACTGAATTCAGGCTGTCTGTCGTAAGTGTAAGGTATCGATAAATTTAACATTCTGTTAACAATTTTCATAAATCAGTTAGGTTACAGACTCAGTAGAAACCTTACTGTTGTTAACAATCCATTAGTCCTTAATTATAATGAACGCATAACTATAAAACCTGAAGGAGAAAGTGTTGGGAAGCATGGTTTTTGTTTAATAATTATTGTTAACCAACTGCTTCATAAATATTCCTTACACTGATTCATTTTCGCAAGTCATGTTTATTTTCTGGTTAGATGTATAACCAGTATAAAATTATTAGTCAAAGCAAGCAAAAAAAATCACAAAGTGGTCGTTATATATGAAAATGTGAAAAGTAGAACTGGTATATTACAAAACATGAGTGATTATGTTAAATCAGTTCAGTTAGGCGGAAGATCACATTTTCATACAGGTATTCAGTAAAGGCTAATAAGTATGATGAGTCAGTATTCAAGGTATCACCGATTGTTTTGATTTTTGTTTCCATATATCAATTAATTATTAATTAACTTGCTTAGCTGATAACTTTATCCACTGTCAGAACAAGTGAGTGCAGAATAAACGTTAAAGTAATACTATTATTTCCAATTATTTAAACAAAACTTTATCAGTTTTAGATTTTCCCGTCGATTGATTGGACCGAAATGCTGGGCTCCTTGTTCAGATGCTTTTAGGATTTCTGGTCATGTAACTTAAAGTCAAGTGATGGGTGGTGACTGGCAGTGGAATCCAGGACGCACGTTTCGTCCTATTTGGGAATCGTCATCTGAATGTACCTGCATTCTTCAGTTAGTGACGGTATTCCCACATCCAGGTGACGAGTTTGAAATAGGAGACGAAATGCACGTCCTGGATTCCACTGCCAGTTACCATCCACCAGTTGACTTCAAATCTTTGTCAGCTTTATTCAGTAATATGCTTACTAGTTTGGTCATCATTAAGTATCTATTTCAGCAGCTATAAATCCGTTAAACTTGTGCTCGCTAATAAAACTGCTATTATTGATGCCTTTATGGGAGATTTTTATTCTCACTCAAGTCTATTAAACAATGCTATCCGTCAATCTTTAAAGCATAGTGTGTCGCTTTATTACTACGGAGTAAAATATACCTACTAATAAGTAGTAAAACGCAAATGAAAACAAAATTTACTTACTTGGTTTTTATCTAGTTCGTGATCTACTAATTCGTTTTCACCCTGTTCTTGAAAAGTAATTATAATTAAGGCCACAAAGATATTTACAAAGAAGAATGGAAAAACGATAAAAAATATAATATAGAAAATTGCCATCTGTTGACTATGATCTTCTACCGGTCCATGGTTTACTTCTGTAGCATCCATTGAATTCTTTAGAATGCTAAATAAAAGTAGAATTAAAGAATAAATAAACAACAAAAATGCAATCACATTAAAGCATTTATTAGTTAATTAGCATTATTAAAACTTTGTTTTCTAGGGTAATCAGAGAAAATTATGTATTCCGAACAAATAACAGAACAATTTGATTGAGAAAATTTCTTACTACTCAAAAGATTTTCAGGTTTTCCTAGGTCGGAGTTTTTACTGACGGGACACGACTTCGGAATCCACCAAAGGTATCATTAATTGGTTTTATATGAGGAATGTAGCTTATCTTTGACAGATTATGCAGTGATAAATTTCCAGAGAACAATATTGTAGTTGAGATGTATTTATGAATGAAGATATTAGAAAAAATGACATTTTGGTTCCTTCTGGACAGTATGATTAAACATGGTACAGAATACCAAACATGGTTTATTGAAAAATATTTAATCCTTGTACGGAATCTCAGTATATCATCTGACATGACATTAATCAGTCTGAAGCATGTTACAATCTCATAAGATACCTTACCGGTAAAGTTTTTTTTTCCTTCACGTTCCCAGTGGAACATAGAGCTTCAAGCTGGTGGCTTGAAGTTTCTGTAGCAGTGTTTTATTTTACAGGAGGGGGTTGCTAGCCTCATGCCCAACCTTTCCTCTTCACCAGCATTATTTCTGGCTTAGCGAGGTGAAGGAGTGCGTCGGCTGGGGATCGAACCCCGGACCATGTGCATGATCGGCGAGCATCCTAACCGCTATGCCACCGACGCACTTACTGGTAAAGTGCACAATGATAATTTGAGAGGTACTTAGGAAGGTATCTGAGTAAAGTTTATCACTTAGGGACGTAATTAGATTATTTATTTTTATTATTCCCTTGCGTTCCGAGTGGAACATAGGGCTTCAACAACACATTTCCACTTCGTCCTATCTTCTGCCATTCTCTTCAGCTGGGTCGACGACTGATCAAACTCTCATCTCTTCCTCACACTATCTCCTCCAAGTCACCCTCACACCGACGACACACTCGTCGCTTCCAATTTGGATTCCACTCGACGGCCTCGCGTTCGATTTCGTTCAGCGGCCTCCTCAATGTATGCCTGATCCATCTCCACTTTCTCCCACATATTTGTTGAGCGATCGGCTCTTGGTTGATTATTCCACTGCGGAATTTTTGTTGCTAATTCTTTCTGGCTGGCCATTTGATCTCCAGTATGGAGCTAGTGAAGGCAGCTGTTGATGAAAGTCTACAACCTGTTGGAAATCCTTTTCGTGACTCGCCAAGTTTCTGAACCGTATAGAAAAACCAAATAGGGTAGAAGTGATGTGTTATCTTGTGCAGAAAGTTAGGTGGTCTGGCAAGTCACATAGGTCACCCAGATGGGATACTTAGAAATTGTTAGTCCAAATTACTTCACTCTTCTACGTGTAAGTTTCAATCATCATTCTAATTAAGCACAGTGATAATGGTGAAGATGCACTAGCAAGCCATTGGAATATACTGTTCAATGGCAGAATGACTTTTTCTAGATAGAATCTGTTTTACCCAATGTTGTTATTTTTGTATTTACTTCACAAAATATCAATAATGATTTTTATTCTATTTTAATTTTTTTCCTGGTTGCATTTTATTTAATTAACCTGGAAATGTGTATCCAGCGTGGAATAAACTTAATTATCCAGAAATTAATAATTAAATAGATGCTTAAACACGTTGTCAACAATCTGTTCAGTTTTTTACATTTATAATCAATAAACTTGTTTAATTAATTTTAACCACTAGAGAAGCGGGATAATGTACCGTGATAAACTTGTACAACTAAGTCTGAACTACTGTTGGTAATAGTAGTAATATTGGTAGTAAGAGTGGACGAGTCAGTGATATGTAGAAATATACAAGATTTAAGAGGAAAATAATATAAGAAACGAATAACTTGAAACATGATAAAAGCTATTTACGTAGGAAAGATTAAATACAGTATTGGTCAGAGGTCATATATAACTTCCCGTTTTTTCTCTATTTGTAAAATTAGAATAGGTTAAGAAGATGAACATGTTTGTGAGATAGAAATAGGTTAGTTTTAAAATTCCTACAAGCCAAATATTCAACTTATCCAATTTGCATGTGCATGAAGTGCGACAGTGAATAGGACATATAGGGAGTAGGCTGATCCTTTCTAATTGGGTTTCATTATGTGAAAGACATAAGATATGCTGACTGACTCATCAACATGGAACTATGCACACAAATACATCATTTCAAGATATCAAAATTCGAAGAAGCGCACATACAGAAAGAGAAAAGAAATGTTATGAAACTACACAAAGTGAAGATATTCGCAAAAGAGAATAATTAAGTGGAGATCAGTAAGGAATTTCATAATCCAAATGATTAAAAGAAGTGGATATATCCTGGTCGTTGTGTGAGATTACTAACCCTGTCACCATGAGTATATATTTATATACATTTATCGATTAACAAACACACCAGTCCGGTAACCTACATCCACACATGTAGCTCTTACCAAAGCTCAGTGGCTTGATAGATTCGTGTCTTATGTTTCTTTTACCTTCCCTGTTTTTTCCGAACCTAATCCTAACATTGCTCGTCCAGGGAAACAAAGGCTCCACATCTGTAACACATTTCCTGTCTCACTTAATGCATTTACACTCCATGCCTAATTTCATTATTACTGATATTATCGCTGCATGTAACATAGGCGCCTAGAAGCAAACACC